CCACTCCAGCAGCTAGAAAAAGGGCATGCTTTCTCCTTTTAAGGACACTTTCAGATATCATACTTCTGCTTATATCCTATTGCCTAGAACTTAGTTACATGGCAAGGCAAGCCTAGCTGCATGGAAGGCTGGGAAATATAGTCTGTCCTGTGGGCCATGTGTCCAGATAACATTGGGGGTTCTATCAGAGAAGGGGAGAATGGGTTTTAGGTCAACGGACACACTCTCTATTCTCTCAGTAAAATATATGGACACTGTGGCCACTATGTGCCAAAGGCTCATGTTTAGGGGGTTGCTGTTCCACCTACTGTAGCTACATAACAAACCACCCTGTTTTAGTTTCCTAGGGCTGCCATAACAAAGTACCATACATTAGGTGGCTTGAAACAACAGCATTTTTTTCTCTCACAGTTCTGGAGGCTAAAAGTACGAAATCAAGGTTTCAGCAGGGTTGGCTCCTCTGGAGGCTCTGGAGGAAGATCTGTTTCATGCTTCTATCCTGGCTTCTAGTGGTTGCTGACAATCCTTGGCATTCCTTGGCTTGTAGACGCATCACTCCAACTCTGCCTTTGTCATCACAAGAGGTTTCTTCCTGTGTGTCTCTGTCTCCTCTGTGTGTCTGAATCCAAATTTCTATCTTATTAAAAGGACACCAGTTATTGGATTTAGGGCCCACTCGAATCCAGTATGACTTCATCTTAAATTGATTACATCTGCAAAGACCCTATTTCCAAAAAAGGTCACATTCACAGTACAAGAGGTGTGGTGAAATGAGTCCCTTTAGTGGGTTTTTGCCTTGGTTCTTTGGAAAAACAGCTTGACAGATTTTCCCCCTAAACCCTGAGGAGTTACCTTTGCTGTAGTTTTCTACCCCAGGGGGTTTGTTACTTTTGTTCAAATTGATGGACATTTCCTGGGTAAGCAGTAAACAGCTTGATGGTTTGATACTTTTTGTCTGGCCCTGTGCTGCAGCCTGCCCTGTGACTGTTCTATTTTATGTACCTTGCAGGGATTGGTCAATATACTATAGACTACTGTGGTGCAGTGAAATAATATGGCCCTTCTAGCCATAGTCTTTATAACTCCCACCAAATGACTGGCTGGGACTATGCAAATAAGGTGCTTGTGGACCACCAAGGGGATTATGTAGCTTGCTAATAATGTAAATAGGTGAATGGCACCTTTGTGGGGTGGGACCATGCAAATAAGGTGTATGGAACCCTAATGAGGGGATCAGTCAGTTTTGCCATTCTGCAAGGCTTAAAATGAGCCATCCCAGAGGCGAAAAGAGAAGATCTCACCACCACCAAGAGAGAAGAGCCAGGAGTGGAGTGTGTCCTTTAGATCCAGGGTCCCTATGCTGAGAACCTCCTAGATTCAGGAGAGAGAGAAAGCTGTAACATCAGAGACGGCGACAGATGATGAGAAGCAGCGGCACAGAAATGGTAGCAGCAGAGGCAGCAGAACCAGGAGACTGGCAGGAGATGGCGTGGTGGGCTTCCTGGCTTATGGAGTGAGAAAGCTGAGTGCCTTCGGGCAGGAGGCTTCCTGGTAGAGTGGGGTACCTCCCAGCACTTGGCAGTCGAGCTAGGCTGACCAATCCACTGAACAAGAGAGCTGAGCGCCTTCGGCCAAGGCTTACTGGTAGAGTGGGGTGCCTCTAGGCACTTATTGGCAGAGCTAAAAGGACTTTGTAACACTTGCCCAAGCAGGGCAGAGGCCAAAGGGCCAGAGAGGCATGCCTGCGGGCATGGCTGAGAAGAAGCCGTCCTGATCAAAGAACTGTACCCTGAGTGTTCCTGAACCTGAACTGTAACCTGTTACTTTCTTAATAAACCCTGTAATTGTGAGTATTGTCTGTGAGTTCTGTGTGGTCATTGTAACAAATTATCAAAGCCAGCAGAGAAGTGGTGAGTGCCAAGGGGAGGACGGCTGGTGTCATGGATTGAATTGTGTCCCCCCAAAATATGTGTCAACTTGGTTAGGCCATGATTCCCAGTATTGTGTCGTTGTCCTCCATTTTGTGATTGATATAATTTTCGTATATGTTGTAAATCCTGATCTCTGTCTGTGCTTAATGAGGCAAGATTGGATTATGTTGAAGAGGATTAGGGTGGGATGTAACACCCTTGCTCAGGTCACATGCTGATCCAATGTAAAGGGAGTTTCCCTGGGGTGTGGCCTGCACCACCATTTATCTTACAAAAGATAAAAGGAAAGGGAAGTGAACAGAGAGTGGGGGACCTCATACCACCAAGAAAGCACTGCTGGGAGCAGAGCGTGTCTTTTAGACCTGAGGTTCTTTAATGGAGAAGCTCAAGGACCTTCCTCCCGAGCCGATAGAGAAAGCCTTCGCCTGGAGCTGGCGCCCTGAATTTGGACTTCTAGCCTACTAGACTGTGAGAGAATAAACTTGTTTGTTAAAGCCATCCACTGTGGTATTTCTGTTACAGAAGCACTAGATAACTAAGACAGCTGGTGTCAGAATTGGTACAAAGTTTGGAGAGTGGAGGTATGTCTGACCTCCACCTCATGGGAACCACCTTTAGGCTGATCCTGGTTCTTATCCCTGAGGAATCTAGACAAGTTCTGGTACTCCTAGATTACAGGGGGCTTGGACTTGAAAATATCTTTTTGGGAGACACATCAGCCCAGTATACACCCCTACGTTAGTGGTATAAAGCAACAGCTATTTTATTATGTTTATGGATTCTCTGGGTTAGGAATTCAGAAAAGGCACAACAAAGATGGCCTCTGTTCTACAATGTCTGGGGCCCAAAGGCTGGGGGTGAATTATTGGCTGGGGGTTGGAGTCATCTGAAGGCCCGTTCACTCACACGTCTGGCAGTTTATGCTGATTCTTGGTTGGAACACCTACATGCGGGGTTCCATATGAGCTAGTTGTGGCTTCCTCACAGCATGGCTAGGTTCTACCAGTGAGCATCCTAAGAGAACCAAGAGGAAGCTGTATCACCTTTTATGACCTAGCATCAGAAGTCACATAGCATCACTTCCACCATACTCACAGGCCCACTCGGATGCAAGAGGAGGGAACATAGCTCTCATCTCTCAGTGGGAAGTGTCAAGGTGACATTATAAGATGAACATGTGGGATGAGAGATCTTACTGTATCTATCTTTGGAAAATACAGTTTGCCACAGCTGCTCTCTAATATGTCCTTCACTTCTGTTCCCGCAAGCTGAGTTACAGATTTACCAACAGTCAGTTGTATTTGCTCTTATATCTACTTATGTTAATTGCATTCATCATTGTGCTTATATCGTTTAATTAGATGTTTTTAAATGGAAAATATTTGTGAATAATACAGTGTCTAGCAAAGGAGAGAGACCTGAAATTAAAAAAATACATATATTTGTTATAAATAAAAGTATCACATGCTGATTTAAAATTTAAATAATACATAAGTATATAAAGTAAAAACTGAAATTGATGAGTGCTTTCCCCTCCTTGCCACAAACTGCAATTTCCTTACCAAAGAAAAGCTGACCCAGGAGGAGAAGGAGGACCTTCACCATCGGTGTCTGGCCTGGATCAACATCATCCTAACCCACGGCAATGAAAAACTGGTGGAGTCTGTGAAGCAACGTCATTTGAAGTGCAGTATTCTATCTACATGACCATACTCTTTGACATCTTTTATGAGACCCATCTCAGCATTGGACATGGTAGGTACACATGTAGGGAGAAGCTGGAAGCTGGTACTGTGTAGTCCAGGTGCAAGAGGAAAGTGGGGTGTGTGTGTATGTGTGTGGTGGTGGTAAGTGGTCTAATTCAGGATATATTTTGAAGTTATTGCTGACAGAATCTGCTGATGGATTGGATGTGGGATGTGAGAAAAAGCGATGAGTCAACGGTAACTCCAAAAAAAGAGTTGCCACTCTGAGTTGGGGAAAAACACAGGAGAGGCAGGTTTCAGGGGAACGATTGCACATCAGACTTGCCTATTAGGCACCCAAGAGGAGATGTCAACTAGGCAGTTGGATGTATGTGGCTGGACTTAAGGAGAGAGGTCTAGCTGGAGAAGTGAATTTGTGAGGTATCGGGGTACAGATGGCATCCAAAGTCACGAGACTGATGAGACTGGAAGGGATATGGTTGTTGACAAACAGCAGGAGAGTGAATAAAGGAAGGAACGGAGCCTTGGGGTGCCCCAGTAATAAAGGGGAAAGAGGAGGAACCAGCAAAGGAGACTGAAAAGCAGGTAGGAAGGAAATCAAGAGAGTGGTTTTCTGGAAACAAAGTTAGGAAAGTGTTTCAAGAAGGGGGTGATCTGCTGGGTCATGCGCTACTTGTCGAGGTCTGAGAAGTGACCACGGGCGTTAGCAACATGGAGGTCACTGGTGATGTTGATAAAGGTAGTTTCAGTGGAGAGCTGGAGTGTGAAAGCCTGATTGAAGTAGGGGGAAAGGACCAGGAAACAGAGAGTAGACAAAGTTCTCCAGGAATTTTGCAGTAAAGTGAAGCTTCTAGAAAAGGGAAGGGTAGCTGGAGAGGAGTGGTCACTTTTTTTAATAGAAGAAATTAAAACAGTTGTATATCGATGGGAATGATACAGAAAAGAGGGAAAAATGATGATATAGTAGAGGACGTGGAGGTAGAGTAAGGGTAAGCGCAACAGCTTACCCTTAGGCGAGTTGCTTCACTTCTGTTAAATTCACTTTATTCATGGATAAATGTAGAAAAATAATGCTTACCTCACCTCGGGTAATATCTTTCAGAAGATGAGAGAGGACAGGATTTGGTGCACAAGTGTAGAAATTGGCTTTAGATAGAGGCAGTTTATACATGATTACAGGAAGAAAGCAGGTAGGTAAGTGAGGTAACGTGAACTTGTGAGTTTATTGATCCCTACAATTTTCTCAGTGAAATCAGAAGCAAAGTCATTAGCCAAGAGTGAGGATGGAGAAGGCAGTGATGGAGGTTTGATGCAAGTGGGGAAATATGGTATAATTCTTTAAGATTATAGATGGGGCAAACCGAAGGGTAACTGAAACCGAGATGAGATGATGCAGGGTAGAGTTACATTTTGCCTTGCAGGATTAGTCCCTCCGGGCGCTCGGTAGTCCGCGTCGCGTTTCCTTGGAGACTGAGACGCGAGAAAAAGCGTCTGGTTTGGTGGGGAAGTTCAAGTGACCTGGGTAACCGCGCGACCCACACACAGACAAGGAGGCTGGAGAAGCCGAACAGGCATCCCAAAAGATCAGGTCCCCAAGGTCTACAACTCTTCTTCCATTTTCCCGAATGGCGCACGTCTTTCCAGAGTGGGTAAAAAGGAGCATGGGTACTGGAGTACGCGTGCGTGACCCCATCCCCGCTAACCTTGCCTTCGCCCCGCCTCCGCCGCCTTCTGACTCCGCCCCTTCCCCGCCCTCATCTTTCTAGCTCCGCCTCTCCTCCTTTCCCAACCCCGTTCCCCTGTGTCCCTGGTAAACTGTGGTATCGGGTTCGAGGCCTCATGCCTGTTTCAAGTTTGCTGCTTGTAGCCCCCCGGGCTGAGTATGATGCTGAAGTTTTTTCCCACCCCCAACTCCTTCCAGACTCGACCGATCTGGGATTCGCTCCACAATCCGCAGGTACCAGGCTCTGGTGAGTCCGGGAGGGCTGGAGCGGGAGTGCGGGCTCGCTGATCCTGGGCCGGTGGTTCGCTTCCGCTCAACTCCCATGGTCGTGACTGTCCCGGGTGATAGAGCCCCGAAGCCTGAATTACAGTATCAGCTGTGTCACATATTTGCTTTGTGACCTGGGGAAAGCTTTGAATCTTTGTTTCCTCCTCCCACTTCCTTATCAGAATCTTAGGGTATATTATAACCCCTTGCAGTCATGGTGACCCCATGTGACAGAGTAGAACTGTCCCATAGGGTTTTCTTGGCAGTAATCTTTACGGAATAGGGAGCCGTGGTGGCACAGTCGTTAATTAAAGTGCTCCGCTGCTAACCAAAATGTCGGGGCTTGGAACCCACCAGCCACTCCACAGAAGAAAGACTTGACAATCTGCTTCCTTAAAGGTTTACATCCTTGGAACCCCAATGGGGCAGTTCTACTCTGTCCGATAGGGTCGCTATGAGTCAGAATTGACTTGACTGGAACGAGTTTGGTTTTTTGGTTTGGTTTACCACATATTTTACAAATATTATCTCTCAGAATCCTCACACCAGCCCATGGAGGTAAGTTTTATTATTAGATCCAGTTTACAGATGAGGAAATTGAGGCTCAGAGAGGTAAAGTCACAGATATCTGTGATGGGTGGAGCTGGGATTTGAACCAGCAATGCTGTGTGACTAATTGTGTTATGTCTGGTAGGATTATGGCCCATGGCAGCGGTCTAATCAGAAAACCAAGCCCTCTGCTCTACCTCCAGTCCAACCAACCAGCGACAACAAGAAAAACAAGAGGAAGGGCTTGATTAACGTCCAGCCAGGTGGGCAGAGGCCCTTGGGGGCTGATTTAGGGGTTGGGGACAGGATGGAGTGTTTGCTCCCAGTCCTTGGTGTCACCATTTGTGTCAGGCTAACTGCTGTAAAAAATATATTCAATTTCTTCATCTTTGGCAATAGTGGTTGGTACGTAAATTTGAATAACAGTCACATGAACTGGTCTTCCTTGTAGGCATATGGATCTTATCCTATCACTGACAGTATTGTACATCAGGATAGATCTTGAAATGTTCTTTCTGACAATGAATGCCTCGTCATTCCTCTTTAATTTGTCATTTCTGGCATAGTAGATCATATGATTGTCTGATTCAAAATGGCCAATACCAGTCCGTTTCAGCTCACTAATGCCTAGAATATGAATCTTCAAGTGTTCCATTCATTTTTGACAACTTCCAATTTTCCTAGATTCATACTTTGTACATTCCAGGTTCCAATTACTAATGGATGTTTGCAGCTGTTTCTTCTCATTTTGAGTCATGCCACATTAGCAAATGAAGGTCCTGAAAGCTTTACTCTATCCACATCATTAAGGTCGACTCTACTTTGAGGAGGCAGCTCTTCCCCAGTTGTCTTTTGAGTGCCTTCTAACCTGAGCGGCTGATCTTCCAGCACTGTATCAGTGTTGCACTGCTATTCATAAGGTTTTCACTGGCCAATTTTTTTCAGAAGTAGACTGCCAGGTCCTTCTTCCCAGTCTGTTTTAGTCTGGAAGCTCCACTGAAACCTGTCCACCATGGGTGACCCTGCTGGCATTTGAAATACTGGTGGCATAGCTTCCCGCATCATAGCAACTTGAAAGCCACCACAGTACAACAAACTGACAGACAAGTGGTGTTTTATTGACTATGCAAAATTTGACTGTGTGGATCATAACAAATTATGTATAACATTGCAAAGAATGGGAATTCCAGAACACTTATTTGTGCTCATGAGGAATCTGTACACAGACCAAGAGGCAGTCGTTTGAGCAGAACAAGGGGATACTGCGTGGTTTAAAATCAGGAAAGGTGTGTTCTTTCACTAAACTTATTCAATCTCTGTGCTGAACCAATAGTCCAAGAAGTTGGACTATATGAGGAAGAACGCAGCATCAGGATTGAAGGAAGACTCATTAACAACTTGTGTTATGCAGATGACACAACCTTGCTTACTGAAAGTGAAGAGGACTTGAAGCACTTACTGATGAAGATCAAAGACCCAGCCTTCAGTATGGATTACACTTCAACATAAAGAAAACAAAAATCCTCCCAAGTGGATCAATAAGCAACATTGTGATAAATGAAGAAATACTGAAGTTGTCAAGGATTTCGTTTTACTTGGATCCACAATCAATGCCCATGGAAGCAGCAGTCAAGAAATCAAATGACATATTGCATTGGGCAAATCTGCTACAATAGACCTCTTTAAAGTGTTGAAAAGCAAAGATGTCACTTTGAGGACTAAGGTGCGCCTGACCCAAGCCATGGTATTTTCAGTTGCCTCATATGCATGCAAAAGCTGGACAAGGAATAAGGAAGACTGAAAAATTGATGTCTTTGAATTATGGCATTGGCAAAGAATATTGGATATACCACGGACTGCCAGAAGAACAAACAGATTTGTCTTGAAAGAAGTATAGCCAGAATGCTCCTTAGAAGTGAGGATGCCGAGACTTTGTCTTATGTACTTTGGACATGTTATCAGGAGAGACCAGTCCCTGGAGAAGAACAACATGCCTGGTAAAGTGTAGGGTCAGTGAAAAAGAGACGACCCTCAATGAGATGGATTGACACAGTGGCTGCAACAATGGGCTCGAACGTAGCGTGAACGTGAGGATGGTGCAGGACCGGGCAATGTTTCGTTCTGTTGTACGTAGGGTAACTATGAGTTGGAATGGACTTGATGACACCTAATAGCATAAACAACGGCTGTAACATACAACCCCTACATTTCAAGTGTTAATACAAAAGTTTATTTCTCTTTTATTTCAAAGTGCATTTGTGGATCTGCAGGTGAGATCTCTTCTACATGGTCACTTGGGGATCCAGGCTCATTCATCCTGGCTCTGACATTTTATAAGGTCTTGAAGTCCTCTGGTGGATACCTCTGCATCCAGCTGGAAGAGAGGGAAGAGAGAAACAAGAACATGGACAGTTTTTTAAATTTTTTATTGTACTTCAATTGAAAGTTTACAATTCAAGTTAGTCTCTCATAAAAAAATGTATACATACGTTGTTATGTGACCCTAGTTGCTGTCCCTGTACTGTGATAGCACACTCCTCCTTTCCACCCTGGATTTCATATGTCCATCCAACCAGCTCCTGACCCTCTCTGACTTCTCGTCTCGCCTCTGGATAGGAGCTGCCCATTTAGTCTCATGTATCTACTTGCGCTAAGAAGCACACTCCTCACGAGTACCATTTTATGTCCCATAGTCCAGTCTAATCTTTGTCGGAAGAGCTGGCCTCAGGAATGGTTTTAGATTTGCGCTAACAGAGAGTCTGGGGGCCATGTCTTGTGGGGTCCCCCCAGTCTCAGTTAAACCATTAAGTATGGTCTTTTTACTAGAATTTGAGTTCTGCACTCCACTTTTCTCCTGCTCCATCAGGGACTCTCTGTTGTGTTCTCTGTCAGGGCGGTCATTGGTGGTAGCCAGG